CGAGAAAGGGAAAAGTTAGAGGAATAACACTAACTGCGGCGACGGGAAAACAAGTAGATGCATGGTTTGGAATTCCCTATGCCCAAAAACCGCTCGGAGATCTGAGATTCCGTCATCCACGACCAGTGGAGAATTGGGGAGATGAAATACTTAATACAACGACACTGCCACATTCATGCGTTCAAATTGTAGATACCGTATTTGGTGATTTCCCGGGGGCGATGATGTGGAATCCCAACACGGATATGCAGGAAGACTGTCTCTATATTAACATAGTTACGCCTAAACCTCGTCCAAAAAATGCTGCGGTAATGCTCTGGGTCTTTGGTGGCGGTTTTTATTCTGGAACTGCTACTTTGGACGTTTATGATCCAAAAATTCTCGTTTCTGAAGAGAAAATCGTGTATGTTTCAATGCAGTATCGAGTGGCATCATTAGGATTTTTGTTTTTCGATACACCGGATGTACCTGGAAATGCCGGCTTATTTGATCAAATAATGGCATTGCATTGGGTAAAAGACAACATAGAATACTTCGGTGGGAACCCTCATAATATAACTTTATTCGGTGAATCAGCAGGAGCTGTGTCAGTTTCTTTGCATTTACTTTCACCCCTTTCAAGAAATTTGTTTACGCAAGCCATCATGCAGTCGGGAGCAGCGACTGCACCCTGGGCTATTATATCTCGGGAAGAGAGCATTCTTCGTGGAATACGTTTAGCTGAAGCTGTTCATTGTCCAAACTCTAGAACAGATATAGGTCCGATGATTGATTGCTTACGAAAGAAAAGTGCAGATGAACTTGTTAATAACGAATGGGGGACATTAGGAATCTGTGAATTTCCTTTTGTTCCTATAATTGACGGATCATTTTTAGATGAGATGCCTATGAGATCTTTGATTCACCAGAATTTCAAAAAGACAAATATTCTAATGGGGTCTAATACTGAAGAGGGTTATTATTTCATTCTTTATTATCTCACGGAATTATTTCCAAAAGAAGAAAATGTAGGTATCACGCGAGAGCAATATTTGCAAGCTGTAAGAGAATTAAATCCTTACGTAAATGACGTAGCTAAACAAGCTATTGTATTTGAGTACACTGATTGGTTGAACCCTGATGATCCAGTTAAAAATCGAAACGCATTAGACAAAATGGTTGGTGACTATCATTTTACTTGTGGTGTTAATGAATTTGCTCATCGATACGCGGAAACTGGTAACAATGTGTACACGTACTACTATAAACATCGCAGTAAGAATAATCCTTGGCCATCGTGGACTGGTGTGATGCATGCTGATGAAATTAACTATGTATTCGGTGAACCTCTCAATCCAGGGAAAAACTATTCACCAGAAGAGGTTGAGTTTAGTAGACGACTGATGAGATATTGGGCTAATTTTGCAAGAACTGGGTACGTACATTTATTAAATAAGAAGTGTTCACCATTTATATCGACTATTATAAAAGCTTTCCAGACATGGTTCTTATTTGAGTACTTTGTGTTCCAGGAACCCTTCGATCGATCCGAATGGCGAAATAACAAAAGTCCATTGGCCACTCCATACAGCTAGTGGCAGAGAATATCTCTCCCTGGCTGTCAATTCCAGTGCTGTAGGTCACGGTCTACGCGTCAAGCAATGTGCATTTTGGCAAAAATACTTACCTCAACTCATGGCCGCCACCAGTAAGTTCACAATAATGTACCCTGAATTTGGTTGCTGAGAATATTTTTTAGACTAGAATTGTAACATCATTTACTATAATTACAGATAAGCCGGAACCTCCAAAGAACTGCACCAACAGAGCAGAAACTGCAGATATTTCTTTCAATACTCTCAGCTTTAGTTTGATTGCAATTGTTAACTTTCACTCAATATTTTTTAAATTCCTCAATTAAACTATGCTATTATTTTTAAGCTTCAGTTAGTTCAATTGTTTTATTCGATTGTGCTTTGTTTTTAAGCCTTGAGTATATTTAGTTGTTGTTGAATTTAGATTGTTTAGAATTTTTAGTTATAAGCCACCTGAAGTGTTAAATTGCGCTATAAGTCCAGAATATACTCTATTAGACGATACTCGATGTTAAGTTCCATATTTAATATATAAGTGATGAATAATTATTGTTTATGTACTAATATTAAAAGGAGTGATGTCTCCAACAACATATCACTTGTTAAGAATAAAATTATAGGATGTACGTAGAGGTAATTTTGTCATAGCTGATAAGTCACTACATATCTTTCGAGGTGGGAGGTGTAGAATTGTCCGAAGACTAATTAAACATGTCTTTTGGTAAATGTTAAGGATACGTCTCGTCTAATGGAAAATGACAGGCATGTTTTTATCAGAACTCTTCAAGGAGATTGTCTTGATGTGTTCTTAGAATGACTCTCAAGTATTGCGAATGAAGTGCTACGACTTTGTTATCTACTAAGTGCTTTAGCGATACTGGTATGATCTATGAAGCAATTTCTATCTCGGAGAAATAGAAAAGGAATTGTAATGGATTTTAAATGTTCCAAAGCATTGTATGGTCCTTCTGAGGCGTATCATTTACCATCAAGTGAAGGTCTTGGTTTCGCCAATTAGAATTATTAAAAAAATATTTAATTAATTCAATGGCGGCGTTAGAATGATAACGAAATATTGTTAGCTTTAATGCGCCTCTATAACAATACATATCACGCAAGGCATAGAAATGTTTAAGTTCATTCTAGCCTTAGGAGTAAGTTAATGAAATAAGCTAGGCCATTTCACAACTTTGTAGTGGACCAATATTAGAAAGTTGTACGTGATATACGGAACGATATAAATTATTCGGAATCTGAAGACGATTATGATTCAAACGATGTTTTTGGATTAACAATAAAACACAATACAATCTATGTTCAATCTGACATTGCGTAAACAAAGATAATGCTAGTTAGTAAAAAGGTTTGTAAGTTTTTCAACTCTAATACAAAAACAAATGAAAGAATATATCGCAAACCGATAGATGTTAGTATACTGAGTATGTTTGAGCATACAAATTAGTATCTTATTATTTTAGAAACGATACATTTAGGTTATCAAATATAGTTGCGAACGGTTCAGCTTTGGTATCTTTAAATGTTACTTAGGAATCTTTACAATTCGTTCAAGAGTTTAGAATTTTATTGGTGCAGTATCTTTTAGTGAGTTGCATTCTTAGCAATGGATTTTTTCAATTCTGTATATACAGTATGAATAATTTTGTAAATTAGATGCTCGAATTTATTTCGCTTTACTTATCTTGAGTATTTTAAAATTGTCAGGCTACATCTGTAGTCGATTAATGTAAGAATATTGAAATCATAACCTGTTGTGGAAGACGATATTTTATGAGATTTAGAATAAATAAACTATGTAATACTATGTAGATGAATTTCAGGCTTTTATTTATTTCGATACATAAGTAGAAACAGTAAATGTATGTAAAAGAACTTCGGCTAATGTTAGTGATGAATGTTGGTATTCAAGTCGCTATCCTTCGCATTAGGTATTTCACGAACTACGCTTACTTTTAGAGTGCCTCTCGTTCTCTTTTTGTATAATTTTTATATGCATGTATACGTAGATATAGGTTGTAAATTAGCACTGATTTTATTTAAAATTAAGTTTTTATTTACTTTTAAACTATTTGTAGTGCCAAAATATATGAAATGCTTTTGTCGGGATATAGTTTTTTTTTCACCTCATGTAGTACTATACTTTGTGAATCGTTTCAGAAGTATATTAAGTTTTGTCAATGTTAACTTAATAAAAAAAAACATGTGTAATTATGGAAGTCTTGCGATATTTAAACTTCGTAGTTCTTAAACTTAATGACTATTGACATAAAAATTTTTGTACAATTGTTAAATGAAAGAATTTCTAATTGTATAATTAAGAGATTTCTTATTTGAGATACGTGATTCGGCAATTACATTCTCATTGAATTTTAAAAGTTATTCGTAATAATTTAGAAATTGATATGTATTTTGACGTCGATAAAGTAACTAAATTAATGCACCGATATTTTGCTTTGTACCCGCTTAACAGCAAGATAACGAATAGGCCTAAAAATAATCAAGTTCTCATCTTCAAAGGCCTAAGCTAAGCAGAATTGATTTTAGTCAATTTATCTTTTAAATTATAATAGTAACCATGTTTAAACTTATTAATAAAAATTAGGGCTATTATTGCATTGATTGTTCGCTGTTTGTGTTTAATTATAAAATAAATGCTTGTATATAAAACGAGTTTTATTTGTTTACTAACTGTCGCTTGCAACTTCGACTGCGCGGAATTAAAAAAAAATTAATTACTTGTTCTTAAATAATATGTTTTATATTATCCGGCTGTTCTGGAGATACGTAGTAACATCCATCCATCGAAAGATTTTTATATTTTTGTTAATAAAAATAAATTAATATCTAGAAACTTAAAGTTAATCTAATCTTCACTTTACGAAACAATTCATTAGTTAAGTGACTGCAACACTCAAAGGTGTATGTTATAAGTTAACAAAGACGGATAACTTAGTTTTAACACAATACAGTGCAAGTTATTTTAGGGTTTTTACCACCACTAATAAGTTCTATTTCTTCTAACAAATCATCATCATCATCATCATCATCATCATCATCATCATCATCATCATCATCTCCTTATCCTACTCCCGTAGGGTCGGCGCAACAGGTTTTTGTCCTCCACATAACTCTATCATACGTCATCTCAGTCCTAACTCCCTTTTTGATCATGTCACCTTTTACACAATCCATCCATCTCTTTCTAGGTCTACCTCTACCGATGTACCCTTCCACACTCATAACTAACGTTCTCCTTGTAACATGCGATTCATCCCTCCTCATAACATGCCCATACCATGCTAACCTTTTACTCCTAACCTTCTCTACTACGGGGGCTACTCTCAAACTTCCTCTAATATACTCTTTTCGTATCTTATCCATTCGTGTTACCTCACACATCCATCTTAACATTCGCATTTTTGTCACATGTCTATTTCTTCTAACAAATATGTGAGCATAATCAAATTTCTATACATATCTACAGTATAATGGCTTTCTGGCGTAGTTTTAAATGATAAAAGCGATCAGAAATATAATTGATCGATTAATGTTGATGCTATCTAATATTTTAGATTAGTATAAATTGTTGGGTTTATTGAAATTCACCCAATCTAATTAAGAAATCAGGTAAGAACACGTCGTAATTATGTTGTGTGATTAGTGTGATTTTTTTAAATATTACATTCCTACAATTTGAACATATAAGTTGTTTATTCATTACTTATAGTAACTTGTATACTGATAAATAAGGTGATTGTAATAATTTTGGTTGTTTTATAGACCCGCCAAAATGAAGACTATCGCTTTCGCTCTTGTTGTTATGCTGGTGGGCGTTAACGCCCTGCCCTCAGAAGTCGAGACCGCCGGTAAGAGACGTCCGTTTTGAACATTTTGATACCGTACAAGGTGCAACATGCTTTTGAGCTAGTGGTAATCGTAACGTGTATGGCAGCATTATTGGTGCATAGTATACAGCGCGAGCGATGTTCGCAAATTAGCAATACACTAGCTGCTCCAGTGCGGCTTTATCCGCATGAATCTCTTTCCCACATTAGGATTTTTATCCAAAACTATTTATCCCTTAAGTTTAATGGCGTGAAAATATGCAGCCTAAAGCGTGACGTATAAGTGTAGGACTTTTTCTTAAAAAAAAGAACTATTTAAAAATATGCTGTAATTGCAGACATCTTAGGCAACAAAGAAGTGTGTTTACGCTTTATTACAATAGTATAGAAGTATATATAGATTACGTTGAGTATTTTCCATATTATAGAAGACTGCTGCGTGCGACTTCGTCCGCATGAAATTTAGTAAATAAAGAAATATACCCTATGTTACTCACAGAAAAATTACCTTACTAACGGTGAATGACTTTTTAAAATCTGCCATGTAGATTTTGAGTTATTCAATACAAACAATAATACAAAGAAAAACCTCTTTATAATACTAGTAAAGATTATAATATAGAAACAAAATCTTTATGAAATAATAGACAGGGTATTATTTTGAAAAAGAATACTCGAATACTGCTTCGATGAGTAAAAACTGTTTTTACCTCGATGTGTTAAGAAAGGTGTAACTTTGTTCCGTAGTCAGAACTTATTTGAAGATTGTGTAAGACTAGTATTCATTCATTTCTTCATTTAAACATGTATAGAAGATAAGATCAGGTCATCTCAAAATTCCATTCAGACAAAGTACATGTGATAGATAGTATTATAGAATGAAATATAAGTAATTAATAAGAATTAAACGCCATTCCAGAGTTCAAGAACACGAGAATTATAGACGACCTCGTCCGCGGCGTGTTGGAAGCTGTGATCGAGTTAGCCAAGGCTGCGGATCCTTATACTGTCGATTCCGCCTCTGGTGACTACAATTTCCCCGTACCTGGGTAAGTAACGTCAAAACTACAGAAATATTTACGAATTCATCTCTCGTTGATGATTTTTACCTAGTTAAAGTTGCCAATCTTCTAGTGTAAATGTTTTAATTCTATGATTTACTGTGATCGGTAAAGTGTGTTTTATCTTTTTATTTATCACAAAATCGCGTGATAGTACCTTATCGTTTATTTCACTACAAGACAATTTCCTGAAACGTTTCTTACAGAGTATTCAGCGCCGTTGCATCAGTTGAGAACTTTAGAGCTTCCGGATTCGGTAACATCGAACTCGACGATGTCTCATTCAGCGGCAGCAGTCTCCGTGTGGAGATAAGCCTCACCGGCGTCCAAGCCTCTGTTGGTACGGCTTTTAAAATAAATAACGTTTTACCATTGACCTCTACACATGGACATGCTATAAGCAAATTTTATGTACCTATTTATAGTGCTGCCAGCTAGTAGATATCCTCACTACCGCTAGCGGTAGAACTAATAATAGAGTTACACTTAACTGTCAGTTGAAACATAGCAAAAGATGGTAAACCGAATGACTGTCTATAAAGAAAACTTCTCTTTATAGTTAGCGATACTGTGGTTATTAAAGTTTCTGCAATTTCAGCTCATGTTATGCTTGACAAGGGCCGTTTTTTAATATGAAGTATAACCAAAGGTCAAGGGTTATTTTAAGCACTCTTAAGAATTTAATCTTCTATGTCTGTAAACAAGGATGGCTACAAATAAAATAGTTCATCGTGTCAATATGACAATAAAATATGACCCATGTTATAGAACATATTGAAATGTTTGCAATTTAATGAGTGTGATAACATAGTGATTGTTTTTTTCTTTCAAGTAAAATAAAAAAAAAACTAATTGATAATTGTTTTTTATTATAGACAGTGCGTCTGCCATAGTGAAAATCTTCAGCCGAACCATCAGCGGTTCAATTAGTGGAAGGTATGTTTTACAGATTTTCATCGATTTATTATCTCCATTTTCTAGCGCTTTACAAATGTGCATAAATAATTTTTTATTAGCATTTTGATCAAATCACTTTATCTAATTACATACATGATATTACGTTATTTTTTAGAGAATAAATGTTTTTTTGGGAAATATGATTTAAAATCCCATTATTCCTATTTAGCTTGGCAGTGAGTAATGTCCGCGTAGCTGTCGTGGCTCAGCTTGGCCTAACCGGATACCTGGTTGACGACTTGGAAGTCGACTTCAGCGTTGGTGGTTTAGAGGTAAGTTTGATTTTTTTAACGGAATAACCGATTAATATAAGTTTAGAGTCAATGGAATTTTAAAGCAAAGATATAGAATAAAAGATCACCTAAATGACACACGATGGTACTGATTTTGGAGCGTAAAGTATGTTTTTATGTGACCTTTATAACGTCTTGGAGAACCGATTTAGAAGAGGGAGATAATAAAACGTATTCTTAACAAGAGTGCTGTACAATCTAACAGGAGTTCAACCTGTAATTTAAAATGAAGTAAGCAAACGAACAAGCACCTGATGTTTGCAATTGCTATTAATTTGCATTAATATAAACTTTATTCGAATTCAAGAATGACATGAGTAATTATTACACAGTAATTTATCTAAAAATCGCATCAATTTAAATAAAATGACTAAAAGGTGAAAGAAAGTGATAGCTAATTTATAATGTTTATTGTGTTTGATACCCTCAGTCTGATCTTAACATCCGCATCAACGATTGGGATCTCTCCGACCGCATTAACAACTGGATCAACGTCACCCTGCCTGCAGCCCTCGAAAAATACTCAGTAAGTTTTTAAATGATTTACAACGAGCTATCGTCTTTTACATTCCCGCGTGCATCTATCTTCTACCACTTACCTTCCACTCAAAGTACTGACGGGTTGAACAGAAGACATGTGAAAGCGGCACTAAGACTACGTTCTGGCCACAATCCAGCGAGTTTTGGATTTCTGATCAAGAAAAATCTGTCGCCTAATTGAGAGTTATGCAGAAAGCCAGAAGATATCCTACACTTGTTGTTGGAATGTGAGAGAAACGGACGGGAGCGTGAGCTACATTTCCGGGAGTTGAAACTCAATCCGTCCGATGTAGGCATTATCATGTCAGTATTGGCTGAGCCAGGATCCGAAGCGGCTGTACGATTATGCCAGCTCGTTTCTTAAGCACTAAGAGTAGCACTATGAGATTGACATGTCTTTCCAAAGACAAAAATCCCCCCTTTTCCTAACAAAGATTTAAAAAAAACTCAAAGTCCCGTTAAAATCGGTCCACCTGTTACTGAAATTGGGGTCGGTCGAGGTTTTGACAGCGCGGAATTACAAAACAAAGTTAAATTCGAATTTCGTTATCATTTACGCTAATACATAAAATTCGCGAAGTCTGGAAAGAGATACTCCAATTTTATTATATGTCGATATAGATAGTAGTCCCATTAATCCAAAAATCCTGGCGTAAAGGCGCTTCAATCGGCTTCTTTATTACATCACTTTGTACTCAGAAAACTAAGTTGCACATTTTTCGGTAATATGGTGAGGGATTTTATATTTTTGTTAAACTAAACATCCATCCTGTATAAAATTGTTAGCTGTGTGTTCATTTCGTATTAAAAATTGTTTTCTTTTGAGTACAAAGTTTAAACCTTATTAATATTAGAAATGTGACTGTTAAGATGGATGTCAGAGTTTGGAGTCTAAATTGAACGGATACTGATGAAAGTTGGTTAAGATGTTGAACATAATCTGAAGGAAGACATAAGCTACTTACTTTTGTTTCTTTATTTAATTCCACGCGGACGTAGTCGCGGCCGAAAGCTACTAAATATATGTTCGGTTTGTTTTATATGGGATTTATTTTTTTCAGGAACAAATCAACCGTCTCGTCGCCAGAGCAGTACTTTTAATTTTGGGACGTTTGTTCTAAGTCAACCTATCCTACTCGAGATAACTTAAGTTAACGGTTATGTAACGAATACGATAAGATACATGAATTTGTAAGTTTATTGTCAAGTTAATTCTACAGTAATATTGTATTACTATAAACTATACCTGTGTTAATAAAACTCTCTCAAACTGTTTTAATTTTCTTTAATTATATTAAACCATACTAATATGCTTACATACCTCGCATGCTCCTTATCTATGCCTTCTATTATCAGTAATCGAAAACAATTCTAATGTAGGTAAAATCATATTTAAATAAATGAAAAATATATCTGTATAAATCTATGTTAATGCGTAAGTAAAAAAAGTTTTTAACAAAGTCTAATCAAAGGATTTAACTCACCTTATTAGTAGTGTTCCGAGGAGTTGTTTGGAACGATTCCTGCCGCCGAGTTTCGTCATCGGACGACACGACAGGCCGCCAGGTACCATCCTCACCATGTTGATGGCTGGCATTCCACAACCG